TTATATTGAAAATATTCTTTCAAACAATATATTCAAAACATGGTTTACCCTCCCCTCTGTTGAGGCCCAGACTTTATTGTGAAAGAATGAATCCTTCCCAGTTCCTTCCCGCTCCTCCTCCCATCTGGATCCATATTTTGGTCTCTCATTAGAAAACAAGCAGAAGTCTAAAGGATAAAAATAATATAACATAAAATAAGATAAAAGAAGAGGACTAAATTTGGGCTGATATTTGAGAGGATGGATTTAGGACTAGATGGTACAGAGATAGGTAAATATGATCAAAATATATTGTATGAAATTCCTAGAAGAACTAACAAATTTTTAAAGGGTCATTCATTTTTTGAAGATTGAAATGACAGAGATTAAAGGTCATGACTGAGAAATACACACCAAACAAGTGTACACACAACAGTAATTACTACTTAACAAAACTCATCCACACCTCACCCATCCTGTCTTAGCAAGGCTCATGAGACATTCTTCCACATAAGATATTTTATAAAAACAATACAAAGCAAAAAATAAAAAATGAAGGAAGGAAGGAAGGGAGGGAGGGAGAGAGGAAGGGAGGAAGGGAGGGAGGGATGGAGGGAGGGGAGGGAGGGAGGAAAGGAAGGAAGGAAAGAAGGAAGGAACTCAAAACCCCTACTATGGAACAGTAGAAAGCAAAAGAATATGTGAAGGAAAAATACTAGTTTAGTGATTGCACTCTATGAGAGAATCAGGCCATATGTCTTCAGTAAACACAGTGTATAGCATAGACATCCTCTTAAAAAAGGAAACACTGTTTCATGCCAGATAATCGTTATTTCATCATAGAATTATGACAAGGAAACACAACTATCTCAGTTATGCTGCCTATGTATGCAGTAAATCACACAACTTGTGATGTTTTCCAAAGCACAGAGGAGAGGTGTGTGATATGATAATGTCTGTGGTTTTTTCCTACCAAGCATTCAGGTGTATAAAAGGCTCTCGGCAGATGATGACACCCAGACTCAAGGAACCTGTGGTCCATAACTGAACAGTCTATTCCTGACACCATGTGTTACTACGGTGGATACTATGGAGGCCTTGGCTATGGCTATGGTGGCCTAGGCTATGGCTATGGCTGTGGCTATGGTGGCTATGGTGGCTATGGCAGCTATGGTGGCTATGGTTACAGCTGCTGCCGCCCTCTGTGCTGTAGGAGGTACTGGTCCTATGGCTACTACTGAGGAGTTTCTACAGCTGCTCAGTCTATTGGTTATATCCTGTTGTCTTACTGGAAGTATCTCCAGTCCACATCACAAATTATTAAATACCGTCAAATCTTCCAAAATTATACTCAGCTATGTGTAAGATGAATGGACAGCATCATTTCCACCTTAGTCCTCATCTTCAGTTGGACTGTGTGACAGCTTGGTTCTTCAGAATCTTTATAATCCTGATGCAGAATGGAAATTATCTGTGTGAAATATATGCTTTTGAATAAACTATTTCTTTGAAAATATCCCTTTCTTACAGCTTTATTAATGTCTCTATTAGTTTGGGAAATATGTTTGTGGATTTGTGTCTGCTTCATCACTTATATGTAATAGTGAACAAATGAGAGAAGATTAAATAAGAGGAAATAGAAAATGAGCAAAGAGGCAGTGGGAAACACTTTGGTTTAGGTTCATATATGGATAGATATATTGATACTTTTGTCTGCTAGTTAAGTTTTTAGAAGAACCAAAAATTAGTTCTATGAATATTTTGAGAGAACTCCACTTTTTTTCCATAATGGCTGTCATCACATATAATCTCAATAATGTGCAACGTTTCTGATCCTTCACATGTTTTTTTTTCTAACACCCATGTGCTGGCTAGTTTTATGTAACTGGTGTTGATATCCTGGCATTATCTTGACCCTGTCCCCTGACAACAGACAGCAGAACTCAGGCAGATACTTAGACAGCCCAAGAAGCCCTATGTTGTGTGGCTATGCCATGCGTTATGTGATTGCATAAGGACTCTATAAGCAAGTGCAAGCTTTCCCTTTTAAGCAAGCACCTCCTGCGTGTGTTCCCTCTCTTTCAATTTCTGCTCCAGGTGAGCAACACCAACCCCTCCACTTGTTCTCTGTCCCAATATACTTCACATGGGTTTTGTTGAATTTTGTGGTTCATTTTTCATCACCTGGAACTGCAGCAAACAACAACTGGAAAGGAAAGGAAGGAACTTCCACTGAGAAAATGTCTCAAGATCCATCTGTAATGCATTTTCTTAATTAGTGATTAATGGGGATGTTCCAGCCCATTGTGGGTGGTACCATCCCTTGACTGGTGGACGTAGTTTATACAAAAGCAGGCTGAACAAGCCATGGGGAGCAAGCAAGTAAGCAGTGCCCCTTCATGGCCACGGCATTTGCTCCTGCCTTCAGGCTCCTGTCCTGTTTGAGTTCTTGTCCTGACTTCCTTTGATGATGAACGTGATGTGGACATATGAGCCAAATAAAACCTTGCCTACGCAACTTGTTTTTGGTCATGATGTTTCATCACAGTAATAGAAACCATAACTAAGACAACCCATTTTCTCTCTAAAACCATTTTAGCTTACAACTGTTGAGGACATTCTCATTGTAACATTGATTTTCAACTATGATATAGTGGTGACATAGAACTTTATTTTACCCTTTGGCTACATACAGGTTTCCCTTGAAAAATGTCTATTTTAACCTGAAACATTTAATATAAATTACTTTTATTGCACCATTTAGTTGTAGATAGTCCACACATATTTAAGTTATTAATTATGTAGTCTATATATAGCTTAATTTTTGCTTTCCACTGTGTGGATTGACCTGCTGTGCAGAACTTTCCTAGCTGGATTCAAAACAACTTGTCTGTTTTCATTTTTGTTGTCTGAAATGTCGAACTCTAATGCAGGCATGGCTGTGGCCAAGCAAAGAAATTCTTCCCTGTGTGATCTTATATGAGTTTCATGGTTTGAATTTTATGTTAAATCCTTTCATTAAGAATTTCATTTTCAGTGTCACTTTCATATATACTTTTAGCCATATGTTCTTTATATATATCAACAGATTGTAGATGATAGACAGACTGATAGACAGACAGATGGACAGATAGATAGATGTCAGACACTGGTTTTGCTACATAATGTTCATAAGTCTATCACCAACAGTATTTGTAGGTTCAAAGAATTTTAAGACAGGTACTGTAAAAATCAGATTTTTTTCCCATGACATCATCAAACGTCTGTGTTTGTAGTGATGAAAACTTATTTGTATAAATTTGTCTGTTGGAATGTCAAACTCTCTAAATTAGAAATTTCATTAAAAAAATTTCAAGAACCAAAGCCATGCCTTTTAATGATGGGTTTTCATCATCTTACCAGTTCTCCATCCTTCAATTACAAAGTAAGAGACAGAAGAGGTGCTCGTTGCTTGTTTAGTCTCTTTTTAAAGAGTATGTTCAACATAATTTTATGAAGATACTGTATTCAAGTTAATATCTAATGTTTCATGCATAACTGACCAAGATTCTACCACAAAGCATGTTTCTAGAAATTGACCCTAAACCTTCTGTTTAAGTATGTATGTGTATAACTTTGCATGTGTGAGAGGGCAAGTGAGCTTACGCAAATCCAGAGTAAAACACCAAGTTCCTTACTCTATGTTCTATCTACCCACCTAATTTTTTTGCCATAGAGTCTCACACTAAATATCAACTTAGGCTGACAAGCAGAAAGCTCCTACAACCCTCCTGTCTCTAACCCACACGGCAATAGCATACAAGCATGTGGCTACCTAGATCCTGAAACTCTAACTGTACCTTTCTCCACTGAGTCATATCACCAGACACTAGGTAAACTCTTAAAGTGACATGCTATTGCTCTGCTTCCAAAGTCATGTGTAAGAGCACATGTGGATCCCGATTTAAAAATAAACCAAGTTAGAGTTGGGAACACTGCCCAGTGGCTTAAAGCTATGGATACTCTCACTGGGGGTCCCAGGTTCAATTCCTAGCATCCAAACAACAGTTTATAACCATCTGTAACTCGAGTTGCAGGGGATCCACAATCCACATCTGACATTTTTAGATACTATATCCATATGCCACACAGATGTATATGCACCTAAAACCTGTATACATAAAAATAATAAAATAATTTTTAAAATTAAAGTTAATTGAAGTTGATGTTGGATCACACAATTAACAAAAATGACTTTCACAGTTATACCTACAATATTATAACACAGGCTCTCTCTCTCTCTCTCTCTCTCTCTCTCTCTCTCTCTCTCTCTCTCTTTCCTCCCCCTCTCTCTCTCTCTCTCTCTCTCTCACACACACACACACACACACACAAAACCAAGGATCATGTAGTTTCTGCACATAAAATATTTTATGTTTCAATGGTTTTAAAACAACATGCAGGACAACAATGTGCTTAGAAGTAAATCTACATAAATTCACATAAGATGACAACTGGCCACCAATTACAGATACTGTAAGCAATAGCTTACTCCTCATGAGCAAGACTTCAGAAATATTCTCCTAGAGAAAAGTTCATGAAAAGCAACAACAAGAATAACAAAAACATGAAAGAAAGCACAAAGACTTCCCTGTAGGGTAATTGACACTAAACAACTGTTAAAAAAAAAAAAAAAAGGAGAAATTTATTTACTGATCTATATCATCTGACAAAATCATGTGACACATTCACTAAGCTAGATGACGAATGATCTAGAGTCTTGAAACATGAACAGAGTCCCTGTTTTGACCACTGGATGCTGAAGTAGGAGCACAAATATCTCAGTTATGCAGCCTTGTCTGGCCAGTAAATCACAGAACTCATGATGTTTTCTGAAGCTCAGTGGAGAAATGTGTGATGCTGCAATACCTGTGGTTTTCCTCAACAACAACCCAGGTGTATAAAAGGCCTGAGCAAATGGTGACAGCCAAACTCAAGGAACCTACCTGTAGTTCATAACCAAACAGTCTTCTCCTGACAACATGTGTTACTGTGGCAGATACTATGGAGGCCTGGGCTATGGCTATGGAGGCCTAGGCTATGGTTATGGCTGTGGCTATGGTGGCTATGGTTATGGCTGCTACCGCCCACTGTGCTATAGAAGATACTGGTCCTATGGCTTCTACTGAGGAGATTCTGTAGCTGCTCAGCCTACTAACTATAACCAGCTCTCTAAGTTGAAGTAGCTCCAAGTGTCTTAAAACCAGTTATATAAATTATATTCTTAATTATTTGTGGAAAATAAATGAATTTCAACTTGTCTCATCTTTATCAATAATATGACAGTCTGTAAAAAATTCTTCTAAAATGTATTTAATAATATGTAGACTTCATCAAACTTGGCTCTCAACATATATGTAAAATAGATTTATATTGTTAAATAAACCATATTTGTTTCACGTATTCCATTGTTCTAGTCCTAATAATTGTCTACAATAGTCTTTCAAATGTATTTTGTGTTCATTTGCCTCTGGGAAAGAGAAAGAACAGAGAAAAAAATGAAACTGTCCTTTTGTGATCATTAGGATTCTAAAAATAATTGAGGCAAAAATCAGTTCTTTGTAACAAACTATAAGAGTTTGCTTTTACATGTCTTTTAATATCCACCACTGTGTCTCTATGTCATGCTTTTGTCTTAGAAATGAGCACCTCCCTTCACATTGGAGCAATCATGTTCGTGAGACTTTATGGGTTTAGTTATTGAGCAAGGATGACACTGATGGACATGTCAAAGTAGACAGGAAAACCACCCACGGGTCTTCAGTCTCATAAATACCATAGGTGAATGAGAAAGTGACAGGCAGTCCTCCCCAAGAAAGTACCTAAAACATACATACAAGTAACATTATAATGACTAAGTAGGTTTTATTTTCTGAATATACATGTATATAAATATATGCATGCATTTATAATTAATGAAAAGGAGGTCATAAACTTGTGGAAGATTGGGGATGGGTATGCGGGAGGCACTGGAGAGAGAAAAGAGAAGAAAGAGACATTGTAGTTATAACCTCAAAAATTTTTAATTAAAAATGAGTGTTTTCTACAATAGCTTTACTTCACACCAGAGAACTTGCATTTCTATGTGTTTATGTGAAGTGTGTCTTTCATGGTACCTGTTCTTGGACAGCATACACTAGAACCCAATATTATGAAATGTTTCTTACTTTTTAAAATATCTCCACCAGACAGTGGCCATTTACTTGATCATATTGAGAAGGTCAGCACTAACAGCATACTGGCTTACCAACAAGGCTAAAAAGTATGACTTCCAGACATGTCATTTTATTTCAAATACTTAGAAAAATATATATATTGTCCAGAGTGGGGTAAGTTTATTAGAACCATGAGATACTTTACCAGTTTCAAATCGACATTAGAATGTTTTCACTTTTGCAAGAAGCCTATTATTTTTTCAGATATGTAACCTGTATGTCCAAATTTTCTCTAAAACCCAATTATTTTCACCTTTAAAATACTTATGTTTCATTGGGAAACTCAAGATGTAACCAACAGTGCTGTGCATCACCCAGAGGACTGTTGATAATGATGTCATGAGAGGATACTGATATGCACAGCTCAGCGTTTTTCTTATTAAACTCATTCTTTTTACCTGGACATGCCCCAAAGAGCTGTGGCTTGAGAAAAATCACAAACTCCTTGATAATTATTTTTAAAAAATCAGCCTGAAACTTGAGCTAAACCTAGATTATCTTGGACAAATTCAACTGACCCAGAAAGACATAAACTGTAATTGTTAGTGCTGTACACTCACAGAAGTTTCTCATGCTTGTATGTCAGGCCAGCCACTGCCTCAACCATCTCCCCAGCCCTCTTTCATACACGCTTGCCAGCCCTAAGAAGGTCCAGCAGAGACCATTTCAGTCTGTCAGTGCCAATTCCCTATTTCTCAACTAAATCCACAGCTGTGTTTCTACAACACACACCCTGTGCCATTCCAGAGACCACTACGGTGTGTCAGGGTTACAATTAAGGACCCTGGACTGTGGCTGAGGTGGGAATGACTCTGGCGGTATCTTCTCTGCCTGATGCCAAACTTTCCAGGCTTGTGGATTCTGTTGAGGAACTTATAGAACAGTGCAGATAATTTCACTGCTCCTCTTTAGAATTTTGATTAGTGACTGTGGAAACACCACCTTTTTCCTCCCAACATCACATAAGGAAAGATGGTATTACTAGGTAACAGTACATGTATGCATACAAGTAAACATGAGCCCACTGGTAAAATATTCAAAATGCTAAAACCCTATCATATACTGATGTCATAACCAATAGCTGTATTAATTACTCTGTAATAAATACTTTTCACAATGTGAGCCTCATTTTTCCCGCTTCTGTTTGATGTCTTCATCTTTTGTTTGATGGTGGGCTGGTTTAGACAGGGTCCCAGAGAGCCCAGGGTGGCCTTGAGCTTGTTATGCAGCAGAGGCTAAACTTTTATCACCACATTCAGCTGCTCTCTCTCTCCTCAGCTTCTTCTTGGACTCTGAACATTAGAAAGGAAACATATTTCTTTGTTTCTGCACAGCCTATTTTATTTTGGTCTGTTTCAAATATCTTTCTTTCTTTCTTTCTTTTTTTTTTTTTTGGTTTTTTGAGACAGGGTTTCTCTGTGTAGCTTTGGAGCCTATCCTGGCACTTACTCTGGAGACCAGGCTGGTCTCAAACTCACAGAGAGCCACCTGCCTCTGTCTCCTGAGTGCTGGGATTAAAGGCGTGCACCACCAACGCCTGGCTCAAATATCTTTCTATTGAGGCTAAATTTGCAGTCATGGGGAACTTTTCATTTCACGGTATCCAAGAATTCATGCTATTTTTATTAAAAAGTATTAATTCATTTCTATTTGACTTTCAATGTATTTCACATAAAATAAAAATATAGAGTATTATGTACAGTCCTTTATTGTGAGAAATATCTTTTTCCAAATGATATTTTAGTTACATTAAATTTATATTCATTAAAAATACTATCAATAGAATAAAGATCCAAGTTTACCAGACATTATGAAGAGTTGTGTATTACAACATCATTAGCACAGTAAAATTATTATATTTCTTTTTCCCTAAAGTCCTAGATACTTTTCTAATGTCCTCTTTAATCTAAATGTCTTTGTGGATTAATAAAACAGTTATATTAATAATCAGTGAAACAGAAGCAGAAAACACGGACAAGGACAAAATATATAGAAATTAGATAAACTGACATATTGAAGTTCTCAGATATCAATAGTTACTTAAAATATAAATGCTCTAAATTTACCAATTAAGGGATTGCAATAAGGAGACTGGAAAAATATATCATCCAACTATATGCAATTTGTATATAACTCACTAAAATAAAACAACATCTTAGATTTAATATGAGTAATACAAATACTATGACATGCAGAAATTAATAAAAATTATATTAAAAATTCTATTTTGGTGAAAGGGTTCTATTCTGCAGCATGTGGCTTATTATTCTCCCATGTGAATTTCCCATGAGGCATTTGTCTCATGTTTGGACATTGGCAATTGCAGTATTCAGGTGTCATGATCAGTGCTGCTGTAATATTTCTGTCCATGTTTTTGTAAATATGGTTGTTTATATTTTCCTCCTCTTGTACTTGGTTATGAAGTCTTGGGGACATAGAATTAAGTTTAGAAAATGATATTTCATCCTTGTGTGAAAGCTTCAGGTGTCCTACATTGTAGCCAAGTGGTTCAATCTAGAGATGGTTGACTCTCAAGTGATAGATAGTCATCATCACATATATTAACATTCTCTGATAAGGAACTGGGGATAAAACACGTGTATATTTATTGTTCATTAAGAGTTTAGAAAGTGTGTGCTTGTTCTTAGTGTGACTTTTAGCTAGTTGTCTCTCGTTTATTTAATACATTCCTTTAGATACTAGTGCATTAGAATATATATGGATTGTATTCATCACACAATATTCATACAATCTCCTCTTAAAATTGTATCAATTTATTCTTGAAAATTCATGTTGAAATAATTTTATATGATTTAATTACATAGAACTTAAATTTAATCTATTAATTTTTAATCTATCCAGTACCATTTAGTCACAGGTAATCCTATCCCAACAGCAACCCGTATCAATTTTCTTTTATCCAATATACACTGATGGGAGATGTTATTCTGTATTATGTTTCTCTTATTGGTTGATGAGTAAAGCACTGTGGCCAATGAGGCAGGAAGATAGGTGGGACTAGGAGATGAGGAGGATTCTGGGAAACATAGGCAGAAATAGTTGCTGTGTAGTGGAGGAAGAGTAACAGTTCTGGACCCGTCTCTGGTAAGATAAGTCAACATGGAAATACTTAGGCTAATAGAAATGGGTTAATAATTAAGACATAGCTAGCCAAATAAGAAGCCCTAGTCATCAGACAAAAGTTTCATAATTAATACAGAGTTTGTGTGTTCATTTGGGGCTCAAGGGCCATGGGACCTGCCGGGCCAGAAAACTCATGCTAACAATACACCATTTAGAAGTCCACATGTATCCATAAACATTGCTTTGTGTGGACTGGAGACTTGACTCAGTAAGAGCAAATGCTGTACTGACAAGAAGGCCTGAGTTTAGATGCCATCACCCACATACAAAGCTTGTGTGCTTTCTAGGCCAAGGAGAGTTAGAAACATGGGGTCAGTGTCACCTGCCATCCTAGTTCCAGGCTCGGTGAGATATCATGTTTAAGATGGAAATAAAGTGACAGGACCAGACACTCAACGTCCTCCTCTGGGGTACATAAGCACATCACATACACACATGATCTCTCTCTCTCTCTCTCTCTCTCTCTCTCTCTCTCTCTGAATCAGCAAGAAAATGTCCCTCCCTCCTCCTCTCTCTGTCTCTCTCCCTCCATCCCTCCCTCCCCCTCTCTCTCTCTGTCTCTCTCTCCCTCCCTCCCCCTCTCTCTCTTTCTCTCTCTCTTCCTCCCTCCCTCCCTCCCTCCCCCCTCTCTCTATCTCTATCTTCCTTGCCCCCACTCTCTCTCCCTCCTTCCCTCTCTCTCCCCCCCCTCTCTCTCTCTCACACACACACACACACTCTCTCACACACACTCACACACACACACACACTCTCTCACACACACTCACACA